TTCCCAGTCAGTGCATAACTACTTAGCTTCACTATAGGTAATCTCTAGTTTGTATGAGACCCAAGCTTATCTTACTTACAAATACATCAGTCTTAAATCTACTCCTCTAAGTAGCAAACTGTAACGGGGTACGTAGCCCTAAGTGTACCCTGGTTACATGAAGTGTGACACTTCACACTTCAGGAGTATGACACGTCATACTCCGGGATATTTGCTACAAGGTACCAAAGTCGTTCAAAGCCAACCATTGGTTAAATGACATTGCATTTCTATAGGTAACTTATAGTTTGTATTAAACCCAAACTTAACCTACCTACAAATATACTCAATTTACAATCTACCTTATTTAGGTCACTTCGCTCTCTTTAATTAAAGAGGGGACCTGTGAACTGCCGTTCACTGAGAGTTTGTATACTCTCGGAAGATAAGTTCCTCTAGCGCAAGGTGCTGTGTGACCCCGTCACACTTGGTAGCACTCGTAGTCAATCCACGCCACCGCGGGTAGACTACCTGAACCTCTCCGAAGTTCGTTGCCATGGATAGGAACGACTTCTCCCATTTGAACGACTCTCAGTTCGAGTCGGTTCGGAAGATGGCAGGCATCTTCGGGATGGAGGCCCTGCAGAGCCTGGTGGTGTCAACACCGGCTGAGCAGCTCGAGCGCGTCAATGCATTTGACGCGTACGAGCAGGGCCTCATCGCGCATGTGCGGGAGAACCTGCAGGCTCCGGCGGCGGAAGCAAATCCGCCTCACCCGAAGCCAATACGGCTGAAGGTTAAGCCGTATGAAGGGAAGGAAGGCGAGAACCTTCACTTCTGGGTCCGAGAAGTAGAGCTCGCGATGGACGCGGCTCTGATCTCGACCGAGCAACTGCGTGTTGCTTTTGCACTCTCCAACCTTAGCGGTCGTGCTAAGAGTTGGGTGTATACACGGAAGGCAACATCCCCAGGATGTTTCACTTCCTGGGCTCAGCTGTGTGAGCAGCTCCGAGCCGCGTTCCTCCCGGCGAGCTACGAGTACCGCCAGTGCTCACGCATCCACTCGTGCAAGCAAGGGAGGTGTGCGCTGCATGAGTACATTCAAGAAATACGGGAGCTTACGGCGTCCCTAGTGGGAAACCCACTCAACGAACATATCAAGATGACTGTGCTCATGGACGGCCTTCGAGTGGGCCCAGCGCGCACTCAGCTGTTCCGGGTGCAGTCAAGCACCCTTGAAGAGGCAATACAAGTGGGTCTTCTTGAAGAGTACAACCATCGCCAGGCGCGCACGCCGGCCTCAGCGGGGCCTGGGAGTTCCATGTCGGCCCCCGGTCGAACAAGCCCCAACGGACCAGCTCCCATGGAACTCGGGTCCGCCGAACAGCGTGACATCCGCTGCTTCGGCTGCGGGAAGATGGGCCACTTCAAGCGCGACCGTCCCGCGGAAAGACTCCGCAGACGGTCCTTCCCTAAGCCCGTCCTCAAGGGTCGCTGGCAGAAGCCAGGATCCCGGGGGCAGGGGAACGCCGGGAACCAGTAGGGGCGGGGCGCCCTACTGGGGAAGAACTAAGTCTTCGTGATGGGTGCGCGGGTGGCGCGTACCACGGAGACTTAGCCCCTGAGAGTCTTCGCACTCTCGAATCGGCGAAGAGCAGCGGCGGGATGCTCGTAGTACACGGATGTGTACGGGGATATGATCATCCCTTTAGAATCTTGATCGATTCTGGGGCGTCGGAAGAATTTCGCACGCCGCCAGACGGTTGCTCGTAACAGCAACAAGTTGTCCGATGCTTTGAGAGAAAGCAAGGGCAACGGGACGGTGTCAGTGCGACTGGCCGACGGGAAGGTCGTCACTGTCCCCAACGTCCAAGTGGATCTGGCCGTCAAGTTTGAAGACTTTGACAGCCTCGAGCAGTTCACTGTTCTCGATATGGATCCATATGATATGATCCTGGGCATGCCCTGGCTTGAGAAGCACGAGCCCTGGATCGACTGGCGAGGCAAGGCAATCGGTGCCAGCCGCCCTGCGCAGTCCGACAGAGCATTGGTGAGTCATGTTCCCACCTCTGTCAGGACCCGGGGCGCCCGCGAGGGCTGTCAGGGTACCAAAGCATCCGGCAGATGCTTGGGAGTCGTCGACGTACATGACGACTCCGAGGATGTTTTGATGGTGGCCGCGCCCAGAAGAGGCGCTGGCCAAGTGGGTAACTTAGGCCCACAGGCGGGTAACTTAGTTCCGCAGACAGCTGCAGCTGTCATGAACACTGAGAACAGCGTGTTCAGAGTGGGTAACAGAGTTCCACTCACGGTCGCCCAGACCATAACTGAAGAGGAAGACGTCGGATACGCTTCCTGTGTGGGTAACACAGTGCCACACGCGGTCGCCCAGACCTTAACTGAAGAGGAAGGCGTTGAACACGCTTCCTGTGTGGGTACAACAGTACCACACGAGGCCACGAGTGCCTCGGATGTCGTAGCGACGACATCCCTAGACGTGGGCAGCAAGCTCTCCGTTACAGAAGCCGTCGGCTAAGACGCCGTCGCCGCCTCAAGTCGGATCCGAACTTC